GCAGTGAAAAAATCTTTACAACTCAAACAAAAAAAGTGTGATATAGTATTAATGGGCATAAGACTCATTTGCTGTGTAATTCCAGTATGTTATTTTGTATTTCCAGAACTAAATCACAAAGTTTAATGGGAAGCTTTTATCTGTCTTATACTATCATGATAGTTTGAATTGTATGATACCTCGCAAGATTTTTGTTTTAAAATAATATCTCTTGCCCCTTTTTATTTCTTATTTTAAAATGTGATTTTTTATTATCTTTCATTAAAATTATATTGAATTTAATTTCTCCTTTTTATCCTTCCATATATACTTTCTGTCCAGTTAGCTGTAATGCCTATAATTTGTGATTTTTTTAAGGCAGTGATTTCATCTTTCTTGTTCTCATAATGTTCATTTGATTACACTAGTCTGGCAGTGACTGCAGAGAAAAGGATTACTTTAAAACTGAGGAATTGGGATATTTGTTATACAAGGTCACGAATCTGTTTAATAATACTCATTTGCTAGCAAAACAAAATACATAGATGCCATATAAATTTTCCTTCATTTAAAAAATTATAAAATGTGAGTAAGATTGATTTTCTTCTTTCAAAGCTTCTGATAATCCTTGTGCCACAAGAATATGTCATGTTGACTTAGATCGCTCTTTCATATCAATCTGAAATCAATTCGCGGTAATATTTCTAAAACTAGCTTTTCTTTAAAATCATTTTTCATTAATGTAAATCGTAAAACTGTTTATTAAAATTGAGAAATATGTTTCAGATGAAGATTTTATATTTTTAATATTTTATTCAATTTTCAGAGCTTACTTGCAGCTAAGCTCAAGTGTTGTAATGCACTCTAACAGAGTGAAATATTTTTTTGGATGCTTTATCATTGTAAATGTATATGTATATATATATAAATTTGTGTATAAATGCACATATAATGTTCTGTCAGTAAATGATCAACTTCTGTACTGCTGCCCATTTGCTGTGAAATGCATTTATTAAGGCTGGGATTTCCTTAGTGTTGTTATGATTCAAATATATAGAAAACTCCTGTGCACAATAAATATACAGCATAAAGTGAAGTGTTTGTCGTATAAATTCATGATATATATTGATGTAAATCTGTTCTGAATACACATCTGATGTTTGCATTTCTGAAAAAGGTAGAAAAAAAAAATATTTGTGCCAAATATATGAGCATCTTGTTTATCAACTTTTCTCCCTTTAATTTTAAAATACACATTAAAATATAGTGGCACTATTTTAATACATTTCCTATTTCTTTTTTCAGTTTTTAATTAGCATGATAATTTTCTTTCAGCACATATTTTAAAATATAGTTCTTTTAATATATGGCTTCCAATATAAATGTAGGAATGATGTTCTAGGCTATTGTATAACAGAACTGGTATATATGAGATACATATTATATCTTCCATCGCATTTCATTTCATTTGTATGAATGTAAGCAAGTAGAGAGCAGAAACAGCAGCAATGTGTATTGTGCAGCTGCCAACTCTCCCTGTTCACTTGAGATTCTAATTTTTTCATCACAATTTCTGGTTTTTGATTTTTAACATCTGTTAATGAAAATCCAGCAATTAATCAAACTTAAATTATACAAATTCCATTTCCCCATCTCTACTGATTTTCAGAATAATTTTTCTTATTACATTTTATTGATTTTATTAAATATCATTTGATCTGAGTTGTCTTCATCTGCTGTACACATTCGCAGATTTTTAAATGAAGATTCAAGCAATATTTTATCAGTAAATATTTGCATTTGATTGTATTTACTTCAAAATATGATACATTACTAAGTCCCCCCAAAAGATACTATGTACATTGATTATTAATTTTATTTTCATCATCATTTCATTTTAAAAGTACTTCCATAAATAAACTTTTCCATGCCTACATATGGGATTTTCTCAGTACAAAAGTGTAAAAAAATTATAAAGTGAAATTAGCATTGGAACAATTAATTAAAATTTTGAATATCCGGTTAAATATTAATATATTTTTCATTAAAACTGAACTGCAAAAAGTTAAATAACCTGAACCTTGCATCATAATGTGAAATAAAGTCAGTTTGGAGTTCCTTTCAAATGGCGTCCCTACACAGCATGAACAGTTTTGTCACAAAAATCTCCTGGTTTTTCAGATTTCAATGTTGGCAGCTATGGTATTGTGTTAATTTAGAAATCAAACAAAAAAAATCAGCCTTATAGTTGCAAATTTTCACAGATGTAAAAATTTACAAATATAGCGCTGATTTTTGTTGTTTTACTTCTAAATTAATACTTCTTTGGCATGTTATTTTATCTCAACTATGGTATTGTGTGTTAGATGTCAAGATTTGATGTGGAAAATTAAGTGGGAGGAGAAAATAGTAATTACTGCAAAACTTCTGTTACTGAAAAAAATTCCTTTATCAGACATTTCAGCTTAGGGAAAAACTATTTTCTGAAATTTCTTTCTTCCTAATTGTGCATTTTAAATTAGCAAAACAGATCTCTTAATTTCCTGTGACATTTATTAGTTCATTCAGTAGTTATTTTGTATTTTATACAGTTTACAAAGTAATTTAAGATTTTGACTGTTTTTTATTGCTTAACACTAGGTTTACAGACTTTTTTTTATATCTACATTTATAGAATCCATCAAATTAATGGGTATAGGAAACCACATATTTTCTTAAAACATTATTAATTTAATTAAAAAACACTTAAGATTGTACTAGAACTTCCAAAAATCCACCAGTGCAACGAATTTGTATTTTTTTTTATTGATGTAAAAAACATTAACAGTAGTTTTACCATTCATAGACTTACCAGAACAATCTTGTGCCAAAGCTGATACTAATTATTCTCTCTAAAAATTCAGTATCTTTTCCTGAATTACTCATGGTGACTAAATAAGGATATTTCTTAAGAAAAAGTAAAACTAGTGCTTTCCTATAATGATATTGCTAATAATAGCATAGTACTTTCTTCTCGATTGTGTACTCGCACTAACTAAAACTTTTCTAAAACGTCTTGACACATTGATTGGAACCCAGTGACTGCAAATCATTTCTTAGTATTTCTTTGTATTTTTGCTTTAGGCACATGTGATTGACAAATAATCACGCATGTCATAGCCCTTGCTCTGGTGAACCATACTGTATTGGTATTCAGTTCGAAGTTATCAAAAGATATTTCTGTTGAATTACGGTTTTAATTTAGTATCTATGTTCCAATTACTTTTACATTTGTCACCAGTAAAATAATTTCATTAAAAAATGGGTTTATTAGGATTAACTATGAAACTAGCTTACCTGTCATTTATACACATATTCCTAAAGATAGGTAGGTAGACATCTTACAAAACTCTAAAATTAAAGGGTTGAAAGGGAAATAAATTTGGGTACATATTCATTTAAATTTGGTTGATAATTGTCAGCATAAATTAAAAAATACTATGAAAATGATGGTTTTTCTAATTTTGCTCATGACGTCTGAAATTTGTCAAAATGACAAATCCTTTAAATCTAGTGCTAAAGTGAAAAAATATAAGTTTACAGGTTATAGGAGACTCATATATACCAGATAATTGCTAAGACACTAACATTGGTAATGATTTAAAATTATTATTATTTGTATTACATTTTTATCTCATTTCTCATACTCAGTTCCAGTTGTTTTAATATCTTAATGATGTATAATTATTGTGTATGTGTTACTTTTTTCATGTAGAATTTATATGTAAGCTTTGTAAATATTCAAATATAATGTGTTCAATTGCATTCATGAAACAAAACATTTTTCACTGAGTATACTTTTTTATATTTTAAATAGTTATGTTTGCATAGATTTATTGAGAATTATCAGCTTTTTGACAATCATTTTAGACATTCCAATTTTTGCATTTTTAGTGTCTTATTATTGTGATTTCCTCTGTTATAGTTTGGCTTCTTGTAACATACAAATAAATCCTACCTGGAATATTTGTAGTATAACTGAATTAAGTTCACACCCATTAGCTAACATCAAAATTTTTTTAACATTTATTTTCACTTTGGAATAGAAATTACACATATTTAAAATCTATAATTCCTTGTTGTGTACAAAGAATTGAAAAATACATCACACACTGTACATAGATATGATTCAGCATCTCATACTGAATTACACAGAATTAGTATATCCAAAGATTTATGTAAAAGGAATTCGGGCATCTTCCTCAAATTAAATGCATTACTGTACAAAAAGTTGATGTTATTTACGTTCATAACTTACGAACTGAAAACTTACAGAAGTTTCCTCTTTATACATTAAACAATAGAAATTAAATTCAGAAAGCTTATGTATGCAGTGTAAAGTTGCTTGCTTGTTGTGTTATAATAAACAGTATGCTGTGTTTTAATTCTTCACAGTATTCTTATCACGGGAAAAACTTAAGTTTGGCATCTTAAAAAATGGACTCTTCAAACCAATGTTTATTTAGAAGATGGCAGCCCGATTTCTATTGACTAGAATTTCGAAAAAAAAAAAAAAAAAAAAAAAAAAAAAAAGGGGCAGAAAATTCAAATTAAGTTTGAAAAACAAGTCACATCGTGTATGCAATTGGTAAATAATTTTCTATTCAGTGAACTTGTGGGAGGTGGAACTAATGTAAGGAAGAAAGAAACTTGATCTTGTCAGTCAGAACATTAACCCTTTGTTGCATACAAAGAATCTAGAGAAGTAAAACTAAAATGTTTGTATTTTTTCTACTTAAAATAACCTTAGTAATAATAATAATAATAATAAAATATTCAAATTGTGATTGAATTTATTTTGCTACAATTTTGTAACCTCTACCTAAAGGATTCAAATGTGAAATGTTCTAGAAATTCCTTGCCAAACATAAACATTTCCAGTGGTCTTTGGGCTTGATAAGCAGTACATTTGGGTTTCAATTCACTCTTTTCAGTAGATCTTTATCTACCCACTTCACATTTTTCTCAAACTGACATTTAAAATAAAATATCTAAAATTACTAATTATGAATAAAAAATGGCAGTATAAGAAAGTGTGAGCAATATTATATAATGTTTACTATGAGAAATTGTACTAACTTGGAAACAGAAGTAGCAGCCATTTTCCTAATAACAATGCTTTACTAAGTGATGCTATACAGCCATATATGATTGACAGTTGAAAGTTCTAATAATGTAGAATGAATAAACACAGGAATGGAATCTGCTAAGGCATTTACAGAAGAATAAACAAATTTAAACTTTTGTCTACTAGAGTGGACATGATGCAACAAAGGGTTAAAAGTTCATTAAAAATATAGTACTAAATTTTCATTCAATTGATTTGTTATTGACACACGTTTTATAACTAAGCATGAGAAGATTTTTATTTCTACCTATATATTATATCCTCAAAAACAGTATCAATGATACTCAAATAACTTTGTGTTATCATAATAATAGTAAACAAAATTAAGTGTTTAAATAGTAATTCATTTAAAACTTTTAAGTGTAATATGTTTAGCATGGTAATTAGAAAAAATAATAAGATACCATAAAGAACAGCTAATAGAAGCATTAATCGTAAGCTGCCATCAACAGAAGTGCCCATATTTCCATACTTTTTACACATTAAATATGATTAGCAGTATTTCTTAATTTTGTAACATTTACCTTCCATGCCGTACATTCCTATATCTTTTTTTAGACAACTCTCCAAATGAAGATAGAGCAGCTGTTCTGCGACCTACTTGGACTATATCTGAAGGTCGTGTAGTGTCAATATCAACATCAGTCTGCAGCAGTCGAGGTAAATCATAGTATACTGCAGCAGGCACTGCTTCTGTTGAAAAATAGATATGCTACAAATTAGAGTTGTTTTATGCAACATAAACTAATTTAATTTCTAAAAGATATTAACTTATCTCTAAATATTATTAGAGGTTTAAAGCAACAAGAATTCTCATAATATTTGTAAATTTGGAAGACTAGTTTCGAATGTTTATGCCTTCAAATTATTATATATTTATTTCTGTGTATTTTTCTATTATATATCAGAATTATACAAAAAGTGATCAAATGAAAAAGTACGAAACGACGTAAAAATGTAACAGTTAAATATTTGCATATTCCGCCATGGGAGAACGTAGCGAGACATCTTGGGATGCGATTGGAGTCTCTCACTAGGATCAGAGCATGCACAGGAGAGAGCAGAGGCTCTTATCAAAAGCGGCGTCCAAATGATGCGGCAGTCCGTATGAGGACACGAGACCAGACCAGGCAAACATTGTCATCACGAGTGATCTCATCGACAAGGTGGACGACCTAGTGAGAAGTGATCGGCGTGTCACATTGCGAATGTTGGCGGTGAAAATGGATGTCAGCTGTGGAACCGTGTGGACAATTGTTCACGACAGGATGCGATATCGGAAAGTGTGTGCCGCTTGGGTTCCGAAGCAGCTCACCAAACAGCAAAAGGAATTGCGTATGGGATTAGCACTGCAACATCTGTTTCGGTATCAGGAAGACCCCGCTTTCATGGAGCGGATCGTCACAGGTGATGAGACCTGTTGCCACCATTACGAGTCAGAGACAAAGCGGGACAGCATGCAGTGGAAGCATGCGTCATCACCTCCCCCTAAGAAGTTCAAAGCCATGCCGTCAGCAGGTAAGGTGTTGCTCACCATCTTTTTCGACGTTCAAGTTGCACTGCTTGTGGAATTCCTCGAGCACAGAAAAGCCATTAACTCCGATGTGTAATGTGAGACACTCCGACGCCTACGCAGGTCCATCAAGAACAAGAGACCCGGCCTGCTCACGGAGGGTGTGGTTCTGCTCTATGATAACGCGCGTCCACACGTCTCCAGAGTCACACACATGGAACTGGCCGAGTTCAAGTGGGAGACGTTGGACCAACCACCCTACAGTCCAGACATGTCGCCCTGCGATTTCCATGTGTTTGGTCCACTGAAGAAACACCTGAAAGGGATGCGCTTCAACTTGGACGACGTACTCAAGGACACTGTGAAGGACTGGATCTCATCACGGCCACAGGAATTCTGGGAACAAAAAATCCTGCGGCTTGTTCATCAGTGGGATCGTTGTGCTCAGGCCTATGGTGTATATTTATAAAGTCTACATTTGTACCCACCGTGTCATTTCGTACCTTTTCATTTGATCACCCCTTGTATATGCTAGAAATATTTTGTATATTTCTGGTATATGCTTTCAAAACTAATCCTGCAAATTTTAACTCGTATTGTTTCCTTAACACCTCCATTAATCGTTATTTAGCATGCTATTTTAACTCAAATTTACCTCTATGTACTAAGAAAAGCTGTTGTAAGTATTTTATACAAATATAAAGTTATTTTTTCCCTCTTTTAAATGCATGTCTATCTTATATTTAAATTCGAATAATTAAAATATCTAAATGGAAAAGAAGCATTAGCCAAAAAGTAGTGTGTGAAAATGCTTTATTAAAATATGAGGAAAAAAATGTGATATCTTTTTGAAATCATGCAAGCATTAAGGAGAAATAATACATAAGTCATTTTCAATCCAATAATATCACTAAGCAATTTCAAGTGAAAATAATGTAAATGAAGCTGTGGCTTATATATCTTTAAAAACACGTAGCACAGTAGTATTTATAAAAACAGTTTCAGAAATACGTTTTTAAATCCACAATGTTCATTCACCAGTTTGCACTGCACTTGTTCCTTGATTCAGATGCTTTCAAAGCTTTTAAGTTTATAGAAAGATAAACGATATATTTGAATTAGTAATTGAATAATGATTATGAAATGCTCATAGCCCTGATGGAAGAAAGAAAAATTTACACCATGGAGTATTCTTTAAAGTGCAAGTCATATATCCAGAAATAGTTTTCCAAGTACCTCGCCAACCAGTAATCTGATGTAACGTGCAATTTGAAAAAAAAAAAAAAAAAAAAGTATAGCCTTGGAGACCTGAGGGATAAATTTCTGAAGAGAAGAAATCATCGCGAATAAATAATACTTTTCAGTTGATGATATTTTTATTTTTAATAAAATAATGCAAGAGTTATCCAAACGGTTAAATTTGTGGCATTATAAAACTAATGTCTGAATAGACAGAGGATTAACAAATAAATCTACATAACCTGCTATCTTAATCCATTGCATGTTGTGGTCCTCCCAAGAAAAAATACAACAAAAGGGACCTTTGATCCATCGACAGATTACATTATATTCATCTATAGTGGATGTTTTGGGCTGCATGTCAAAATCAACCAAATTATGTGTATTAAGAAAACGTTTCCGGTCAGTGGTATTTTCATTTTAAAAGATTCACCTCCCCCCTCCCGATTGTTTGAATAATAAACTACTTTTATTGAGAAAATAATTAATGTGCTTTAAATATAAAAATTAAAATTCTAATTATTAAACAAACGTAACTGAATGAACTTTATTTTTCTCTTCAATATCAATAACTCGCCTGATTATGAACTTGTGACCTCAATTTAGTCGTCTTAAGACGAATAGAAGCATCTGAATTTTCGGTAGTTAAGCCACCTCTATTCTTACAATAAATTTTATGTATGAAAATATTTGCCTCACACTTGTAAATTGAACTGAATGTGGACAAAATGGCATATCCGATTTTTTGGAATAATGGATTATGCATTGCTATTGCCAATCTTATTGATTTCTTCTTGAAATTATAGTTTTTTGTTTTTGTTTTTTAAAAATAAAAATGCATATTCTTTACCGCAACTTTGTAATTAAACAAAAGTGTTATTATTTATTTTCATTTTAATATTTTATGTCTTCTTTAAATGTCCGTTTCATAGTTATATTTTATAATTTATTTTTATATATTTTACTTTATTTTCGAAACTCAAGTGGATCACTTGAAATTATAAAATAGATCACTCGATGATCTATGGGTCATAGGTTGCCAAGGCCTGACCTATAGTGTGATGTGTGTCTTGGAAATATTTTAGTCTGATCATGGATCTTTGCATTTTGATGAATAGAAATTACCTGAAATCTTGTGTGATGCCGGCCTTTTCTATATATTATAATAAACAAAATCTGCTGTAATCTTCCTCAGGTTTTCTCCATTCCTTATCTTCACTTTTGATCAATTCTTAAAACTTTCCCTAAACTGTTGTGGGCAGCTAAAAATGCTCTTAACTCTGTTAACATAGAAACTTTCCTTTACATAACTGTTTTTTTTTTAAATATATTTTTTAGTTGTAGGACTGTATCACGGCAATTTTTTAATTCTTTATTCAAGCGTAGTATGCTTACAAGATTTCTCTTGACAGTTAGCAGTTTCATTACAGTTGTATACACATTATTAATCATTGTTCTGTAACCTTTTTCTTTAATTATCCTTATACTTAATTGCCACAAGGATCCTTTTCTTATAGTTTAGCTTTGTATTCAATTTGGAACAAATTAGCTTCATTGCCTATTGTTTCTATTTTGAAAGTAGCATCTTCAGTAGCAATTGGCTAATATTGATTAGCAAGAAACATTGATTAATAACTGAGATATCAGTCTTTCCACAGCAAACATCTATTCATTAATCTTTCATTTTACACCAAAGCATATTTTAGTGAGACTTAGTTATATATGGGCAATACAGTAATCAGTTACATTTGATGTTAACAAATTATATATTCTTGTTGGCTTAAATAAATAAATAAATATATTTTTATATAGGTTATTTTGAATACAAAAGGGACACGAATCTTTATCTGCTGAAAGGGGGAATGAAAGACTTTCTATGGAAAATGTATAAGGCATTTCTCCCACTTTCGTGGTGCACTCACCGTGTAATTGAAAGGTGTGCGGTTCGATTCCCGGCGAAGGCATTGCTAATTTTTCATCTCTTCTGCTTCCAAAAATTACCTAACGTCTCTACAGTGGTGCCTGAACTAAAAGGGCATTGCATGATGATTCTCCTCACGCAGATTTGACGATTGGGTCCCCAAAAAAACCCCATTAATCCTTTAAAAGGGGGAGTATATAAGGAATTTCTTCTGCCTTCTTAGCGGGCCTTCGTGATGTAGTGGTCAGCACACTCAGCGTGTAATTGAGAGGTCCATGGTTCGATTTCCGATGAAAGCGTTGCTAATTTTTGATCTCTTCTGCTTCCAAAAATTACTTAATGTCTCTACAAACTGGCTCATATAGATATTTTAAACTAGAAGAAATAAAGGGAAAAGATATTTCCCAATTGCTAATTTTTGGGAATTATTAGTTCTATATGTATGGCTCACTAAGGGCAGAATGGCTAAGATTGTTGAATACTGGTAGTTCAAATCTTTGCAAAGATACTGGCTGCCTGCATGTTATCGTTATTCCTATGTGTAACATGATTATGACCTACATTTTCGTAAAAACTTTTATGGAGGCATCCTTTACCTTAGCCAAATAACCCTTATGTGCTTTGCTGTATTCAATTAAAACAAAATGAACACTTTATGGTATTATGAAAAATTTTGTTTTTTCATAGGCGTCTATATGATTTAAGCATGCCACAAAAAAGTGGTTGGTAGTATAAAATATTGCTTAAAAATGGTTCCATGATAAAGCCTCTCTTGGTCATAGGTCCATTATCATATTAAAAAAACAAATTAAATAATATATACTTTAAAATGGAGTTTTGGTCATGCAACATATTTTTCAATAAAATTTTTCAAAACTGAATTTTTGTGCAGCCCTTATAGGGGAGCTTCAAAAAAAAAAAAGTTTTCTATGCATGATAAATTAAAATTTCTGCAAAATGTATTCAAATATTACTAGAAAATATTAATATCTCTCAATGGCAAAAAATTTTTAAGAAAGT